CACAGTGTGCTGGCTACTAACATCACAGTGTGCTGGCCTACTGATGCCACAGTGTGCTGGCCTACTGATGTCACAGTGTGCTGGCCTACTGATGTCACAGTGTGCTGGCCTACTAACATCACAGTGTATTGCCTACTGACATCACAGTGTGCTGGCCTATACTGACATCACAGTGTGCTGGCCTACTAACATCACAGTGTGCTGGCCTACTGACATCGCAGTGTGCTGGCCTACTGATGCCACAATGTGCTGGCCTACTGACATCGCAGTGTGCTGGCCTACTGATGTCACAGTGTGCTGGCCTACTGATGTCACAGTGTGCTGGCCTACTGACATCACAGTGTGCTGGCCTACTAACATCACAGTGTGCTGGCCTACTGACATCACAGTGTGCTGGCCTACTAACATCACAGTGTGCTGGCCTACTGACATCACAGTGTGCTGGCCTATACTGACATCGCAGTGTGCTGGCCTACTGATGCCACAATGTGCTGGCCTACTGACATCGCAGTGTGCTGGCCTACTGACATCGCAGTGTGCTGGCCTACTGACATCGCAGTGTGCTGGCCTACTGACATCGCAGTGTGCTGGCCTACTGACATCACAGTATGCTGGCCTACTGACATCACAGTGTGCTGGCCTACTGACATCACAGTGTGCTGGCCTACTGACATCACAGTGTGCTGGCCTACTGACATCACAGTGTGCTGGCCTACTGACATCACAGTGTGCTGGCCTATACTAACATCGCAGTGTGCTGGCCTACTAACATCGCAGTGTGCTGGCCTACTGATGTCACAGTGTGCTGGCCTACTGATGTCACAGTGTGCTGGCCTACTGATGTCACAGTGTGCTGGCCTACTGTTGTCACAGTGTGCTGGCCTACTGATGTCACAGTGTGCTGGCCTACTGATGTCACAGTGTGCTGGCCTACTGACATCACAGTGTGCTGGCCTACTGACATCACAGTGTGCTGGCCTACTGACATCGCAGTGTGCTGGCCTACTGATGTCACAGTGTGCTGGCCTACTGACAT